TTGCTGTCTGCTTGTGGAAGAGTTGCAGGCAAACAGAGAGAAATGATATACAGTTCACATCAAAACTATTCGCCTTCCTGCTAAATTTGTATTCTTCTTCTAATAATGTGTAGCAGACAGATGAAGTTTTCACAGTATGCCCCATAATATTTTTAGATTCTGGAGAAAGTCTTATTTCTTTTAGTTTGGCTGGAATAAAATTTAGTTTAAACTATTTATGGTCAATATAATTTATTTATTTATTTATTTATTATTATTATTATTATTATTATTATTATTATTATTATTGACTTCCTATTGTTGCTAACATTTTAATGCACGTTGGCTTGTTTATTTGGTTGTAACAATCTATATAGTTTGCAGAGTATGGTTCGAGTTTCGGAAGAAGTGACTCAAGTTTATTGCTGGGTGTTGTTAACCCAGGAATGCGTACACTCCATCAATGGTAGTGCTAGCTTAGTTCATAGGGTGAAGGAGGTAAAAACAGGGGTGCTCAAACTTAGTCCTGGAGGGCCGGTGTCCTGCAAAGCTTAGCTCCAACTCGCCACCGACACAGAAAAGTTTCTAGTACATCTAGAAAGAGGTTGATTAGCTGATTGGGATGTGTTTGGTTAGGGTTGGAGCTAAACTCTCCAGTACACCAGCCCTCTAGGACCGAGTTTGGACACCCCTGAGGTAAGGGAAGCTGTGTTGTCTCAAAAGAGAGTTCATTGTTAGGTGTAATATTTTTTCAAAACGCTTACCTTAGGCTTTTTTCTCTTTATATTTTTGTTTGGCAGTTTATTTATTTTTGTTTTTCTGTGTTTTGATTGTCCCTTTAATTATTATTTTTGCATAACATCTCCACTAAATGAAGTTTAATCCTAAACTAATTTCGAGAGGAGCTTGTTCTCATGATTGACCCAGCTAGCCCATCTTAGCTAATCACGATCCTCCAATCAAATGATCCCAAGTCACTATATATACTCATACTATATATCCTTTCTACAGCTATCTTGGTCTGGAAGAAACCCCCCTGCTCCCCTTCTTTCACCTTTATCCAGAAGGCTAGTTAAGCTTTTAAAATCCACATTGATCTGAATAGTATCTTGCGAAATAACTTGCTAACATAATAATAACAAGAGTATTTTATGCACATCATCATGGCAAATACAAAATTATTATGTTTAAAAATATGTTTGAATCTCCTCTTTGTTAAACAGCACTTGGGAAATATTTTTAAAAGCATTAAAATTTCACAGGAGAATCAATAGTTCTGACTTCTACTGGCAATCAGCTTTTGAGAAATAAACACACACTACAGAATAAGAGACCCTTGACTAAGCCCCGCCTTTAGAAACATTCCTGGCCAATCCTTGCATGGCAACTGTTGCTGTGTTGAAAAAGAAATCCTATTGGAAGACTTTTGTGATTAGATAGCTCTGAATGAGGCTGATGTGCATATCATTAATTATTTACATGAATGTTAAAGTCAGCAACAGTAATCAGGGGCGGAGCTTACTTTTCTTTATTAATCATTCACAGAATCTGCTGCTTCTTTGGTAGTGTTTGCAGTGTTGACATGCCATTCAGGTTTATAACAGTCAAAGAAAACAATGTCTAAAAGATTGATTCACTGACTGTGCATGCACACAAAATTATTTACATTGAGTAAAAAATGATTTACATTTATGTATTTAGTAAATGAATAAGCATGATAGAAAATAATGAGCACTTTAAAAACATTTTTTAATCAATTATTTACTCAGAATTAAAAGCATCTGTTAATCTGCATTAAAACATTAATTGTGTATTAAAAATGTGTATGAAATTCCACCTAGTCAATAACAAATGCACAAAAGTATGAAACTAAAACTGGTCTATTATTTTAAAATATTAATAATTTTTTTTTGCATATTTATTTTAGAAATATATAGATTAAAACACATTTTTGAAAGCATTAAAAATTAATTTACCCATCACTTAAATGATATATTGGATGCTAACTAGTCTATAATAAATGCACAAATGTACAAAATTTCAACCAATTTTTTAAATAATAATTATTTGTTTTTAATATTTTTATAAGTAAAAAATAGAAAAACATTTTAAAAGCATTAATCATTTACATATTACTTAATTTATATATCAAATTCTAACTAGTCTATAATAAATGTACAAAAGTATAAAAGTAAGTTGTTATTATATATATTGTATTGTATATATTATATTGTATATATACTATTATTATTTATATTCTACTATTTTTCTTTTTTTTCTTCTTTTATTTTGAGTTTTCATAAAAGAAAATACATATGTAACTTACATATTCTCTCATACAGAGAGAGACTTACAGATCTTGTATTTACTTTGTATTTTCTTCTCTTTAAAAAGAACAACAACTATAAACAGTAAAACTTGGGGAGCAACAAATCCTTTAAAAGGTTTCCTTTAAGGAAGAACAGACACTCATTTAGACATAGTATTACATTTAGGATACAATTCAAGAAAAAAATCAGGCATATTAGTGAGATATACTCAGTCCATTTACTCTAAATTAAAAGTATTCAGTCTGTGTTCTTAATGAAAACAATAGTTTTTCCATGACATATATAGTGTGCACTGTACCAATCCATTCTTCAACTGTAGGTGACTCTAATTTTAACCATTTTTTTTGTACTTACTTTTTTAATAGCTGCCAGAAGAATAAATAACAATTTCTTATCTTTATTAATCCATCCATCCAAATGCATATTACCTAAATATAAAGATTCACAGGTAAAGTCAATCTCTACCTCAAAAATGGCGTTTAGATGTATTTTAATCTCTTTCCAGTATGGGGTTAATTTCTGACAATCCCAAAAAACATGAAAGTGATCAGCTACTTTTTCCCCACACATTCTCCAGCAGCTAGTACCCTTTCCTCTATGTATTTTCTGTGATGGTGTGATGAAAAACCTTAAAACATTCTTCCAACCGAGTTCTCTCCACATGGCTGAGCTGGAACATATCCATCAACCTATTTTTCAAAATACTAATAATTTGTTTTAAACGTTTTTATCAATAAATAAATACATATATTTTAAAGCATTAAAAGCAAATGTACATATTACTTATATAAAGGTTAAAAGGTCTCCTTTAAGGGTTTGTTGGGTTGGGTTTATAAATAATGACATTTAGTATCAGGCATAAAAATAAATAAGTAGTAAGCTTGACAGTGTGAGGATTCTTAATATCGGAGGACGAGCGCTTCTGGCTGAAATTCTGGCTGAGTTTATGCGTTTAATTTGTAAATCTGCCTGACTAAGGAGTTAAGGAGGCCTGAGGCTTGAGAAAATCCTTCCTCGGTGTCACGAGTTTTAACATAACCACCTGAACCAAGACATGATGCTTAACACTTTAGATTCGATCTCAATGATTTCATTATCTGTTAGACTTATTTGTCTGTTTCGTTCTGATCAGGCTTCAGATTTTGAACTAATTATACATTATTAACCATATCAGTTAATGAACAATTTTGTACATCACAAGTGTTTTCTGTTTATTTACAGTTGTGAATCGCATTATGGGATGTTGATTTCTGCTCTGTAGACTTTTGATGTCGAAAATTCAACTCTACAGCTTAACAAAGTGACTTTAATTGATGTTTTAGTAGTTTGAAATAATATAATGTATAAGAAAAAAAATACTATCTAGAGAAATAAGTCTGTGAGATGACAGTAAATGTACTGGGGGGTTATTAGAAGGTTTTGTGGCGAAATTTACAACATCAACCCAGACAATATAGCACTTTACACTATTAAAAGTGTTCATAAATGTCACTTCTTTGAACTTTTCAAGGATAAAAGTTGCTGGAGGAAAGATCAAGATCTCATAATGCAATTAAAAATCAGAAATAATAAAACATGAATCACAAAATACAGAAAGCTGCTATTTTAATGAAATATTTAATGATTTCTGCAGGACACCTCTGTGAAAATAGTCTCAGAAAAGCTTTAAAGTGAACTGGAAAGAAACACAATTTTCTAGTGTCTGGAATACTGAAATAATTTGCATGTTTTAATATTCACACCAGCTTTTCTTTGGTAATTTACTGTATATACAATCTGATTAATTGATTAATGTATAACAATCTGTAAAACATGAACTAAACAGAAGTATTAAATCCTCCAATCTGCAGGACACAATGTGCAAGTCTTCAATTAAAAACTAACACTTTTAAAAAATGTAAAAATGAAATCAAATGTGAAATGCTGATACGTCATTTACTTCAAAGTTAATTAAAACTAATATTAAAATAAAATAAACGATACCCAGATATTACAGCTGAAAATATATAAATAAAAGTTGATTTTACTTAACTAATAGAGATTATTATTTAATTATTAACCTTATATTATGATTTTTATACCCTTTCAAAACTGAGGCCCAGGGCTCTGTATATGTTTAGACTTGTAAACACCTTTTTAATTACTATACAGCTTTTCTCAAAACATTACAGGTCTAACAAGCAAACATAGTATAATAATTAGACATATTATCATTAATAACGGCATATAATGTAGATTATTAGCTTTTAGATGTATTTATTTTCTCTAGGACAGCAGAAAACAGTGAAACAATGTCACAATCAATTAAAAATTAAATAAATGTTTGTAAATCTAGACTTGTAGGTGCTTTAAAGTGAGTTTCAAACATGTCCGCGTCAAAAACAAACAAGTCAAATTTCCGTTTCCGTTTCGTTTATAGACATTTGACCACTTCCGCCTTTCATAAAACAGTCTTTCAATCAATAACATTTGTTTTAATATTGACTAAACATATATAATTAGCAATTAATTTGTTGATAGCCCGCTCGTCACCGTCAATAACAAATATTAATGAATGAAGATGAGCCGTTGTACCAATGATTACAGAGTTTTATCAGAGCTAATGCGAATATTTGTTATTAATAATGTATTTTGATGAGGACACCGTCTCTTACTGCCGTTTAAACCGTGTAAAACTGTTAAATATCTTACCTGTTGATCGAAAAAATATCCCCGGGTTGGTTTAACCGGAAGTCGAGGTATCTCCATCTCCAGCACTCGGATGTTGATAGGAAATTAAAGAGCTCGCCAATTTCCACTTTCTGTTTTCATTCTGTTAACTAAATGACATGTTTTCATTTTAAGAGATAGTTAAAAGATCATTTATAATAATTATTTGGCTAAAAACTGCAAGTAGTACTTACAATCAAACGCCGGACCGTCTTCTGTTTGTTTACATGCGTAATGTTACATAACCACGCCAAGCAGAACTCGATTTCCCCGCGAATTACAACCCAACTCCGACGGTTCAATTTACACATCATCAATATAAGATAACATCGAGGTATTATTTATAGGCCATATATCAGTATTTAACTCAGTAAATGTTTGATTTTATATAAAAAAGAGTTATGCTGATAACAAAATGAAAATATGGTATTAAAGTAGAAAACAAGACGTATTTTATGTACTTTCTTAGTAGATATTTGTTTTTTATTTACTTTTTACTCAAACTGTTATGCTGATATATAAAAAATAGGGTAATTATAATTATAATAATACAAAAAACAGTGGACTTGTGCTAATAAATATGGTTAAGACAGCATAATTTACATTTTTAGTTGCCTAAAGCAACTTAATTTACCTTCAATATATATATATAATCAGTTTATGCTCTTCCTGGGAATCAAAAGTGCCTTAATGTTTGAGCTAGTACATTTTCACTGGTATAATAATGATCCTACCTTCCGTTTACACACTGACTACTACCATAGCTTCATATGGCAGACTTTTAAAACAATTTGTTCTTGAAGAGATTTGGGTTTAGCTGCATTTAAATGTTGCCATGTCCTTCTGTACAATGTATTATATGAATTATGCACACCTCAAGCTTTAGGAAATAAGCTACATAGATGCCAAGGACATTCGTAATCTTACTGTATGTCTAAAAGCTGATGTTTAAAGGGTTAATTCAGAACAATGTGTCTTTTAGCTTATAAAAAAGTAAGGTTTTAAACAAATGCGCTGCTAATAAGTTTAAAGCAACACACCCCTTAAACCGTTTTAATAATCAAGTGTCTTTCTTTTGTTGTTTCAGAACAATCCCAGCAGACACACAATGCCAATAAGATGTTAATATTACGTTAGATTTAAGCAGCCTGCATCTAAGGACAATGTTATGTTGATTTCCAATAACGACGTTACATTACGTTAATATTTAGTTGATTTTAGGTTGTGCCAACATCTTAAACCAACGTCAAATTAGAGTCAAAAACTAACATTTATTGGTCAAGCATGGCAACCAAAATCTAACATCTAATAGACGTCATTGTGGTAACATCCACACAACTTCAAGCTCATTAGACGTTGATATTTTATTGGTTTTAGGTTGCGTTGTGACATTGACATCGGCCTGTTGTTGGGTTTTGTCGTCAACCCGATTTTCATTTACAATATGCAACCTTCCCACAACAATGGGGTTGCAGACGTCATGTTGACATCATGTGCCTGCTGGTATGTGCCAAACAGATATAACACATCATGCTGCACACTTTCCTCTTCATAAAACTGCTTCAATATCAAGTCAGTTCCTGCTGTAAACATAATCAATGGTGAATTACTGAAGTTAAAATGATATCTAAACTAGCTAATTTTAGGGTAACTTAAGATCATTCTTACCTGGTATCATCTGAGCTTGACTTTGATAGAGATAGAAGCCATTTTCATAGCACAAATATAACAAATATTTGACATGCTTCCCCCTATCATCCTGAAAGGGGTGAAAAATCAATGAAGCAAGTGATAAAAAATTAAGTACACACAGAGACATTGAATACCACAGTATTTCACTCGTATTATTAAACTGTATTCACATTACAACATCCACAATGTTCAGCTTGTGACAGGTTCTAATAATCTCAATATATATTTTCTGTATGTTACATTATACCAAGAGGCACTTCCAGTAAGTCTGGCAATAGAGGAGCTACAGTATAGTGTCTAAATTACAAAACAGTAAAAATAAATAATGTTTATCTAAAAGACTTCTGTTGTCGTTTTCATCTTTTTCGTCCCTTTTTTTGGCTTTGTTTTTGTCTCGTCTCCGTTTTAACCTGTACACAATATTGGTTTGTACAAAATGGAACAACAATCAGCGATAAAATGAATATTTCACTTTACGAATACTGGTGATTTACACAGTTCCCCTTTCTATAGGTATTGCTACATGTGTTAAGTGCAAGATACAAGTGAGAAGAAAAATAATTATTTTGTCAGTGAAGTGCCGACTATATAAAAAAGTACAAGTCTCATTTCTCCTTCTCGGAGAGAACTGTAAAACTTGTTTGGTTCTCAAGATGAATAAAACGGGTGGACGTGGTTATAAGACAGCTGAAGATGAAGGAACGAGCTATGAACAAGAAAAAATATAATAAAGTTCAGCTTTTTATATGACATGTACTCTCTCTTTATGTCTACATGTGAGTTTGACATGCTGGTTCAATTGCCAGCTGTCAATCAAAAAGAAATCGAGGGATGAGCTTATGAGACTAAATTTTACACGCGATCCCAGCAAGTCATTGTGCATTTCTGAAATACCTGCTCAGGTATTTGAGCTCTACTGTACAGTCTATAATCTATTTCGCTCCTAAGGGCATTTGTTATGTGTGAAAACATATTTCTGCCATTATGAACATGTCTATACTGGTGTCCCAAGTATTGTGCTGTCCATTTAGACTATGGGAAATATGGAAAATAGGTAGACTAACAAAACCCCCAGCCCTAACAAAGACTATCGGACACCTTTTGAGCCAATGGAGGTGAAGATTTACTATTTGACACTAAACTTAAGCCTATCAATATAACCCTTCTGGTACTTCAGTATTGCTCCGAGCAGGTTTTGAACATTAATTTTAGCCATGGGAAGTGAGGACACAACATCCCTCTCACACTGCACAGTTTACAGCATGGGAGGGAGGTACACTGACACAAAACCTTGAAGACTAGCCCAAACTCAGTCCAAGAGGGCTGGTGTTCTACATATTTTAGCTCTAACCCCAAATAAACACACCTGAACCAGACAATAAAGCTCTTTCTAGGTATACTAGAAACTTCCAGGCAGGTGTGTTGAAGCAAGTTGGAGCTAAACTATGCAGGACAGCAGCCCTCCTGAAGTTTGTGCACCCTTAGACTAGCTCCCAAGTCCCAGGCCCTAGTGTGCCTCTTAAGGCCTGCGTAATGAAGCTACTACTAGCTAGTCTCAGTTACACTTACCCCCTTAAACCTCACTCCCTACTAGATTTCAGATTTGTGAGCATATCTTAAGTTTAGAGGTAGGCTCTCGCTAGCTGGCCTTAACCAAGACACTGGTATACTTCAAACAAAGTAATTGTTCGTAATTCATTTGAGGCCAAAAAGAAGTTCGAGAAGGCTAAGAAATGGTATACTGCTTTCAGTGCAGGAGGAGGAGTTGTAAATGTGTCACGTCCAAAACTTTTAGTGAGGTTTTGTTCCATTGGTGAGGTTTTGTTCCTTGCCACTATCGCCACTGGCTTGCTTGGTTTGGGACTTGTAGACTGCGCATTGATGAATTTGCTCTACAGTGTTTCAGCAGTGAAAATTAAACCACACTAAACTGAATTAAACTGAACGTCAACTCTGAAAACTGGACTGACACGGTTTCAATTGACTAGAACTTCTATGTTAAGCTGCTTTGACACAATCTACATTGTAAAGTGCTATAGAAATAAAGATTAATTGAATTGAATCCTAAACACAAAAACAATAACGGGTGTGAGAGAATAACAGTTTTATGTAAGGCAGTGGTCTCAAACTCAATTCCTGGAGGGCCGCAGCTCTGCATAGTTTCTCTCCAACCAGCTTCAACTCACACCAGCTTAATTGTCCATAGTAGTCTTGAACACCTTGATTAGTTGGATCAGCTTGATTAGAGTTGGAGCAAAACTGTGCAGAGCTGCGGCCCTCCAGGAATCCAGTTTGACACCATTGATATAAGACAAACAGCCTTTTCCAGGGAGACGCACCACCACGGCACACTGCACTGTTTTATATTTGTCACAGATTGAGACTGACTGCAACAATGTTTAGAGCTTTTAGAGTTGTGTTTATCGCTCGGTGTGTGACTCAGGATCTCGTGTTTAGGACCAAAATACACTCCCCAAAAAGTTTGCTTTGGTGAGCGAAGTTTTCGAACTGCAGAAACAAACTTAAAACTAACTTAGTTGTAACTGGATTTTGTTCACAATTATGTCATTTCAGCTCTTTTTTCGATTTAGTTTGAAGTACACCAGTGCCTTTAACCTTCTCTTCCTTCAAGATATCAGTCATTAGTATGCCTTTTGAAGCCAGGGGATTGAAACTCCTTCAAGTTGGTCTCTGTCAAACTCCCCTCTTAAACCTCATTCGCTACCAGGTGTCAGACTCTTGAGCATGTCTTAAGTCCAGGGGATTGAGACTCCTAATAGCTGGCCTCAGTTACACTAACACCATTATACCTCACTCCCAGGTATCAGTCAATAGTATGTCTTTTGATGCCAGAGAATTGAGACACTTGCTAGCTAGCCTTAGTTAACTTAACTTCCTATCAGGTCTCAGACTCTTGTGCACATCTTCAATACAGACTCCTTCTAGGCTCCCAGGCTTATTGTGCCTTTAGATTCTGGCCTCTATTGGTTCTTGGTTTGTTGCTCATCGTAACTGAAATTACACAGCGGGAAAGTGAAATATTCAGACACTGCCAAACTTCATCAGAGGGAAATCTGACCACAACGGCCAAACCAACAATCAAAGATTGTAGCTTAGGATTTCAGGAATTATTTCGGATTTCCAAAATTTGTCTCAGGTGACCAAGTCATGACTGAAAAAGCACAGTGTGAGCAGAGCTATATTGGCCACGGGAGAGAGGCCTTTTTTACATTCACTCCCCTACACTTCACTCCCTACTAGCTCTCTGTCACTAGTCTGCCTCATGAGGACATGGGAGTGAGGTTTATACTAGCTGGACTGTGTTGCACACTCTCCGCAAACCTAGAGTCCCTGAAGCCTTCTAGATCTTCAAACCCAAATATAATCTGGAACACTCCTGGCTTGACAAGTAAGCAGACTAAAAAGAGGCCCTAATGTTTCTAGTGTGCATACTAGGGAAGTGAAGCACCTTCATTAAACTCCTCCACCCTGACCTAACACCTGGAACCAGTGTAACACATCCACTTGTATTGTCCTCCCTCTGAGCAGGAATCAAAACTATCAATCCTATTGTGGGAGGCAGGAACACTAACAAGGAAGCTAAAGGGTGTAGCCCTCTAGTGGTAGTCGCTAGTAGGCTAATTCCACAGTTTTTGTTAAGTCTCTCTGAATGCCGTCTAGATGGAAGCAATTCTGCAATATTGGACCACTGAGTGTTATCTTTGGTGACTCACTGCCGTGTGCCCTCAATGCTAATCACCGGGTATTGACATGCATTTATCAAACAGAGTGAAGTCTAGGCTTCCCATCATGCAATTA